TGTAAATATATATATATATATATATAATCACCCACCCCCTAAAAAAGTACAAGAGAGGGGGGGTGTACGCTGCCAAAAATGTACTTTTTACGTGTTTCTTCCTAGGGTTCCCCAGGGAAAAAATTTATACACCACGTAGCGTTCGCCGGGGGGGTGGAAGATGGATGGGGTGGACAAAGGCAGTTCGAACCCCCCCCCCCCAGTTTGATACATTTTGCAGAGGTTTTGGAATTCCTGGGGTTCCTAGGGGTTTTAAACCCCTGAGCCTTTATACTTTTTACGTACGTGTTGGCCAACCATTCCGTGGGCATCCCCAGGATTCCTCAGTGTTCCATGAACCCCCCGGTTTATACATTTTACGTGCGTGTGTCTATTTTGGATATTCATAGGTCAGCTGGAATTCACTGCCCCCTTAGTTTTATACTTTTCATGTTTTCTAGACACCCAAGTTGCTGAACTGAAAAAAAGAACATGTTTAATTTGCCGGTCGCCGTTCTTCCGAAAGCCTTTTTTGGCCACACACCTCGCTTGTTGAGCCGAAAGAGCCGAACAGCATAAAGAATACAGGGTTTAAGACATACAAAACCAGAGCACACAGAAAAAAAAACTAGGAAAACACAAAATAATCAAAACTTGTCAAACTCCAGGTTTTGTTGATGTTTTTTGTCGTTTTTGTGTTTTTTTTTTGGTTGTTTTTCTGGTGAATCTTGTCCGGTTGTTTTTGGCGATTCTGTGTTTTGATTGTGTTTTTTTTTTTGGCTTTTATTTTTTGCTAGAATCAACTTTCTCTGTTGAAGCCGGTGTCAGACTACAAGGGCAAATGAACAGATTTTTATGCGTATCCAACCAAATCTAACCAGGACCACATCCAATCATGATTAACCCAGAAATGTATTCCAAGGAGGGGTGAGCCTGTCCCCCCCCCATTCATACATTTTCGAACTTTTTTTTTCCTTTGATCCAAAAAAATATGTAAGATAGTATTTGTTTGTATACAAGGACATACAAAAGGATTTGATTGGATGGTGTGTGTATCCAACCATATCCAACCATAGGTCCAACCATGTCTAAAGTCTAATCATATCGAACCCAGAAATTCAGAAAATGTATTCTAAGGAGGGGTGGGCCTGTCCCCCCTTCCTTTCATACATTTTTGACTTCTTTTTCTCTCGAGCCAAAAATTACTGTAAGGAGTTTGTTTTGATCCTTTTTGTATACCAGGCTTTTGAGCCGAACAGCATAAAGAATATAGCGGTTTAAAAAATACAAAACCAGAGCACACAGAAAAAAAAAACCAACTAGGAAAACACAAAATAATCAAAACTTGTCAAGATTGTTTTTGTGGCTTTTGTTTTTTGTTTTTGTTGTGTTTTTTTCTGGTGAATCTTGTCGGGTTGTTTTTGGCGATTCTGTGTTTTGATTGTGTTTTTGTTTTTTTATGTGTTTCATTTTTTGCTAGAATAAACTTTCTCTGTTGAAGCCGGTGTCAGACTACAAGGGCAAATGAACAGAATTTTGCGTGTATCCAACCAAATCTAACCAGGACCACATCCAATCATGATTAAGCCAAAAAATTCCAAGGAGGGGTGAGCCTGTCCCCCCCCCATTCATACATTTTCGAACTTTCTTTTTCCTTTGATCCAAAAAAATATGTAAGATAGTATTTGTTTGTATACAAGGACATACAAAAGGCTTTGATTGGATGGTGTGTGTATCCAACCATATCCAACCATAGGTCCAACCATGTCTAAAGTCTAATCATATCGAACCCAGAAATTCAGAAAATGTATTCTAAGAAGGGGTGGGCCTGTCCCCCCTTCCTTTCATACATTTTTGACTCTTCTTTTTCTCTCGAGCCAAAAATTACTGTAAGGAATTTGTTTTGATCCTTTTTGTATACCAGGCTTTTGAGCCGAACAGCATAAAGCATATAGCGGTTTAAAAAATACAAAACCAGAGCACACAGAAAAAAAAACAAACTAGGAAAACACAAAATAATCAAAACTTGTCAAGATTGTTTTTGTGGCTTTTGTTTTTTGTTTTTGTTGTGTTTTTTCTGGTGAATCTTGTCGGGTTGTTTTTGGCGATTCTGTGTTTTGATTGTGTTTTTGTTTTTTATGTGTTTCATTTTTTGCTAGAATAAACTTTCTCTGTTGAAGCCGGTGTCAGACTACAAGGGCAAATGAATGCAAATGAACAGAATTTTGTGTGTATCCTACCAAATCTAACCAGGACCACATCCAATCATGATTAACCCAGAAATGTATTCCAAGGAGGGGTGAGCCTGTCCCCCCCCCCATTCATACATTTTCGAACTTTCTTTTTCCTTTGATCCAAAAAAATATGTAAGATAGTATTTGTTTGTATACAAGGACATACAAAAGGCTTTGATTGGATGGTGTGTGTATCCAACCATATCCAACCATAGGTCCAACCATGTCTAAAGTCTAATCATATCGAACCCAGAAATTCAGAAAATGTATTCTAAGGAGGGGTGGGC